ACATTGACAGTTGTAACATAAAAACCTAAGTTTATTATGTTAATAACTTTTTATTAACATTTATTAAATGAAGCTCAAACTTACATTGATTTCTTAACTTGAAATGTTTGGTATTTATCAATTGTATATGTATAACTTGTTATTTTGGCAATCACTATAAATTTAATTATTGTATATATTACAAGGAGAGGTTTTCTAAGTTGCAAGAAATTGTAACTAATCCCGTTGTATAAATTATACAATAAATATGTTCAAAACAATATTAAGTTCAAATGAGAATAATCCATACAATATGTGCTGAATTTACAACTAAGTAAATTTTCAAAATCATAATTAATCAAAAAACAATTCCACAATTTTTATTTAAATTTCAATTATCTCAACAAATGTGAACATATTTTTATGTTTTCACTATATATATTTAATTTATTTTGTAGGCTATAAGTCTGTTGACCAGTCTATTTAGTCTATACAGTGTACTAGATTAATTCTTAATTATCAGTTTATGCAAGTCTTGGTTTACCATGTTGATTATGATTACACAGGTGACATACAGAAGCCATATATCCAGGGGATTAATTGGGTATGGGGATATACACATGTACAAACAATTATGGGGATATACACATGTTCAAACAATTGGGCAGTGTCCCTTTCACACTATAAAATGATGTGTTTTTTTGTGTTTTTTTTTTGAAATATATGTGTTATAACTTCAATTGCATTATTAGATTTAGCTTTCAACTAAAGTTTTAAAATATTGACTCAGTCTCTGTATGGAAATATTGTCATACTGGTGTTTTCACAAAATGTTGTTTTCCATGTAATAATACACAAAGCTAAACTACAGAACACTGTATATTATTCCATATAAACCTTTGACATATAAGTATATCTATATATACATTACTTAATTAAACTATCAATAAGCTAAACTACAAAACACTCTATATTGTTCCATACAAACATATTACATATGTATATCTATATTATATTCCATATAAACAGTGTACATATACTTATAACTATATACATAAATAAATACTTCAAATTGAGTCCAAAAACATAAATGTTACACATGCTTATAATCTTATAAATCAGAAGTCCATATGACCAATAGCTTGTGATGGAAGTAAAATTTGGCAAAATTAATTAATTATCTTAAAAACAAATTATGTAAAGACAACGTATTTCTTTTAAAAAGATAAAAATAGTTTTTGATAAAATGTTAAAATATGAATGAAAAATAAAATTTTGGAATACGGTCAATAAACTTATTACAATTTTCTATATTTTTTTGAAAATCAATTTTTTTTTACAGAATATGTCACAATAAAACGTATTTCACTAACCTGTATCACAGATTCTGTGCTGCCAGCGATTGCAGCCATCGCACAGCAAAGCATGTTGTCTTGCAGATACTTTTCTGCTGCACGAAACACACCGGTCGCTGATGGGATCCATGGTCGTAATGATTGCATTTTAGCTGAAAACCCAAACTCCACGGAAGATCAAATACTTTTAATTAATATGCTCGTAAATATATACTTTCATGTTTTTCTAAGAGGTTTTGACAATAAACCAATTAATTCGGCTTATTGCAAGTTTAGATAGGGTTACCAATCATTGGAATAATAAGTATTTTTTTTATTTTTACTTAAAATATATTTTTTTGTAAACCTTGATCATTTAATTAACAATAAAATATACAGTAGTCCGAGTTTGTAATAGTCCCCCCCCCCCCCGCAACAATGTTATCTTTCCATTGATACGTCTACTTTTTACAAAATTGATACCTTGGCCTATAAACCAACTGGTTAAAAATGGGGAACATGTGGATGGTGTTTGTCTCATAACTACATTTTACGTTATTCTCGCAAATGAAATTTTGATTTATGTTACCAACACTGGCCATTTAGCAAGTAACGCCAAAAACCAAGATTGGAACTCGAAAATCTCCGGTTATGTTAAAACAAAGAAACATAGACCCCCCCCCCCCCCCCCACACACACAATAAACAATTATTAAATTTTATGTATATGGATACATAGAAAGATTTTCATGATGATTTGGTATCATTAACTTGATAATAGCCCAGATTTTTTTTTTTTTTTAGCTTGTCAAATGAAATTATCATGTTTTTTTTTTATCGTAAAATGAATTTTTAAGGATTGGATGGAGCTAAAACTTTTTTTTTAATTATTACATTTCAGTGTATTTCATACAACAAAATCTAATCTTTCTTAGGTACATATAAAATTTCACCTTTTGATTGAGAGTGGAACTATGATACTTTTTTTTCGATTCCTTTTTTTCCGATAAAAACTCCTGTGGTAATATAAATTTTACTAAGTATATAACGAATACTATGTATTAAGTTTAACCGAATACATTTTTAATAATATATAATTCAAAATCACACAATACTGAGTGACAAAGAGTTGTATAGATTTATAAGGATGGTTTCTGATAGAAATGTATAATTTTGAACATATCACAGACAATTTACAATACATGCATCTTTAGAAATTTATTATTTACCAAAATACGTTCAATATTAATACCTACTCATTCCCTGATATATTGCAGAAATATTGTATTACAAAAATATCTAAAATTACAGACACCCGTAATAATATGTTATATATTTTACGCATCCTCAGAATTAACAGATAATCATAATATTAATATCTTTATTTGTAAAATTGCACTTGTAAGTAATTGTCATACACTTCATTTATTGTATTCCTTTCTTTAAAGACATGTGTACATGCATGAGAATATGTTAGAAACACCTTTGCTGCTGACAATGAATTGTTTTGTCTTTCATGACCCTCTCCCCCGCTTCTGTCAAACCAAAACTGCGCCTTTTTTATTTCATCATTTTTTTCCCTTCCTTATCTGCATCATTAATATTTGATTATCATTCTTTCCTGTGCTTTAATGGTTTATTGTTTTGGATATTCATGATCGTCGATCGAGACAATAGTTAATACCTGGATCAATATTATTCCTGACAAGTTTATCTCCACGAATTATGTACTTTGTATTGACAGGTATTATTCATAATTATAAAATAATAGACTCTACTTCACCGAACAGAGCAATTCAAGGATATATTTTGTCTATTGTTTCAGAGGGGATGGCCATACATGTATATCACATTCCCATTATACTTTTCTTTTTGCAAATGACTTATCAATTAACCACCCTAAGTAGCTGCTACCAGGGAACTGTAATAATTATACTAAATATCGGCCCCTACTGCTACTACACACACACATACACACTGAGAGAGAGAGAGAGAGAGAGAGAGAGAGAGAGAGAGAGAGAACGATTCAACTATCAAAGGTTTTTTTTAACGACTTCAAGTCATTTTTTTATCTGGATAAACCATTTTAACTCCGTTTATCCATTCCAAAAGATCCACCCTTGAAGATATCGGGCTCCAATCAAGCACTGTGAGAAATTAACTACTAGTACCAAAACTCATCATTAAAACTCGGTATCCGCTACCCAGCCAAGACTTAAAATGGATATATATATACATAACGGATGAACAATGGATGAACAAAGAACTACTATATGCGAAGTATGCTGGAGAGAATGTCCACAGTTGAAAAGCTTAAAATAACTAATTAAGTCTTATCCATGCATAATAAATCAATCCATATATGACAGTGACTATTGAAAACAGAAACGGGGGGGGGGGGCTATGAGGCGGATCTTGTCTTTGTCTACAGCAGCGATAGGAATGGGTTCTCAAAACTTTGCAATTATGTCGAGGGGGGGGGGGTGTACATGTATTTTGGTGTCTGCTGCAGATCGGGGTGGACGTAACTGACGATTTTACAATGTACATGTAGGGGTGGGATGGGAGTGGATCTCCTTGTCTTCAGCACAGATGGGGTGGATATCACCTACGTTGTAATGATTGCCCGATAAACACTGAACAGAACGATCGGAATTTTAATATGATATGATCCCTGACTGACAAGTGTTTTTTCAGAACAAATAGGCACGACCTAGCTGTTGGCCTCGATATATTAAAATCCAGCATTTACCGCTATCTCAACCGAATGTTGTTCAAAGCATGTGATACATGTCTAATGTATCATTATAAATTTAAATCAAAGAATCACTATCTAAAGTAGAGAATACGTACAATTGAACAAATTATTCAGAATGAATGATACCGATAGTGTTGATAGGGATGTTAACGTTGCATTAAACTTGATCACTGGTATCACTGGCAATACAAGTTATTTTGGAAACCCATATATTTCAATTTTCAACAAAATACTGTATAGTAATAGCATCAAACAAAGCCGACACCCCCAACCCCCTCACACACTTATTGAACAATATCGACTTATTTATTAATCATGATTAAGACTGTCCTTGGATACAACTAATTTTGACCTTTTAAACTTGACCTTGCAACTGGAGTTTGAACTTATATCTAACTTTAACCTTATACTAGTATTTACAATACCGTTTAATCGGTTAGAACTAGCGATTTTATATTCTTTACTTGGCTTGGGTACCGACAATTTTGATTCTTTAACTTTGATCTTTACGTTTGACTTACTTTTGAAAAACATGGCAATAAAATGAATAGATAGTGCTATGTCTTTTATACTTCACAGTTGATTCCTTGTAATGAAAGTATCTCTTTGGTAACAACAATTTTGACCCTTTGACTTTGAAGTTTTGCCTACTTTTGACCTTAGCAATAAGTTCAAAACGGTCGGTTTTAGGGATTTCATATTTATTTTCCTTGTAACAAGATTTTTAGGGTACCAGTATTTTTTTTAACTCTTTATCTTGATGTTTGACTTAAAAAAGAGAAACCTTAAAAGTGTGCTTATTTGGCTCGTCTTTAGAATCAATATATTCAAACAACAAAGACACAAAAGACGGTATATCCAAAAAGCACTGTACATCAATATACATGTACCGACTTTTAAGGTGTTCTACTTCATAATGACGACTCTTACCTTTGACAGCGTTTTCCACGCGCTTCAGGCTCCTCAATGACAGTCTGATTACACTAGAATTAAGTCTCAAGGTCACCCCGTCCTCAAAGGTCACCATCAGAATACGAGTATCGAACACTCTTACGTCACTCTCACAAATCCCCGGATCCCCAAACCCTCGTATGGTCACCATGCGACCCCTGACCGAGGTCATGCCCTTGACCCCAAATAGTTTTTCCTTGCCCTTCATAACCCTCTTCACCTCTACGCTTGCTGAATACAAGTTCCGATTCCGGGGATCCGGGGACTTTTTCTTCACAGTTCCGGTCAGAACAACGTCCGCCATCTCTTCTCTGGTTTCCACGGGTGGATCTGAACAGTTTTTCTTGAAAATATCACCTTGAATGGAATCTATTCCAAAAATTATTGAAGCACACGAAAAATTAATATACATACACACCAAGACACACAGAAATATGTATATCCTATATGTTTGAAGCAACATGACGCTGTTTTAAGCCGTATACCAAAAACGGAGAAGGAAATTGGCGATCATACAATGTTAAAAGGGTGATCGGGTTATAACGGGGTACCCCGACCAGACACAAGCCTAACTGGAGCACTCATTGACTATAGGGTTATCAATGCACAGACCTTACACTGGGTAAACCAGGGCTTTACCTATGTATATATTTAACACCTGATACAAACATTCCGGAAAAAATTACACCAATGTGGGTTACCTTTATATGCACCCCTTTTGTAGATAAGTGTACACGTGCAAACAGTTTCTTGCAGGTTTCATTCATAAGAAAAAATAACTTTCATTGATGTCTCCTTGCATAGCGGTCTAGATTATTATCGTAAAATTGTTAACATGGGTGTTTTAAAGTGTCGATATGAATACATAGTGTGACGATATGATTCTATATAACACGAGAATAGGGGGACAAAACTAGGGGGATCAAATGAAAGCAGCAAATTGATCGTGAAGCGACAAGCAGTTTAACTAATATTTCATAAATTGGTTTAAAGTTAGTCTCCGATCGGGGTCTTGCTGTGCGAGAATTTAACTTTATCTTGGGGGGTCACGTCAGGTGACGGGTTCTGTTATGTCGCTATCAACTCACGGTAACAGATCGTCACCCACACGGAAAATGTCCAAAGAATGGCGGGTAAAATAACGGAAATAATCGTTCTTAATTCATTGTCAATACGCCCTCTCCATAAATATAGATAACCTAGCAAATATATTTGCACATGCAGCGATGCACAAAACCCCGTGATATTTTTTTAAAGGTTGCATATATTTACACACTTCTATAAACCAACTCTTCTTCGCTTGTGAGAAATTTCTGCGCGAATTTTTGAGACCTTCACTTTATCAATTTCATTATTTATATCTGTGAATATTTCTCAGAACCAACATATTCGGCAAAAGAAAGGTATAAAGTAGAAATATCATAACAATTTCATATATACTTATATCTGAACAGAAAAATTACGTAAAGAGAAATTTAGTTAGCAGAAAATTAATTTATGGTCACGTAGGGAAAACGCTAAAAAGCCCAAAACACGTCAATTTGATAACAATTTGTCAGTTGCATTAATTGATGAATCGCACATCGTTTTTCAATATTAAGTTATGAATTTCTTGCAATCTTGGCACAGTTTAGTTCAGTTGTTTTCGTTTTTACTAACCAGTTTCTGTAAATTATCCCCCATAAAACTTATCACCCGTTGTCAAAGAGGGTCTGGAGTGGTTTTCAATCAACCGTGACAATGACGTTAACGCTAAACATATTATTATCAAGGCAAATAGAACGATTATAATCATTAAAGTAGAAAACATTCTGCAATTTGTTATGGAACAATATGGCGTAAAATTTTTTGCGTGGTTACACATGCCCAGTATGGCCACGGTTTGAAAGATAAACAGAAATTCCATGATATGAGATGCACTGACATATATATTTATTTTTTTATTCACAAAATCAAATTTTGGTTATATCTTTCTGAAAGATAATTTTTAAAGTTAGATAGGAAAACAAAAAAATATTTTATGAAAAGCTAATTTTATTCACCTCAATAGTATATTATATTCATTGAGATAATAAAAGTTTCATACATGTATACTGTATGTAGTTTGTATGCTTAATAAACGCTGTTCGGTAGATGTTTTGATAATGCTTTCTTTTATGCATCGATGACAGAGGATGCTGGGATGGGACAGGGGGTAGGTGGTGGGAGGTCTCCCAATTTTCAAATTGTTTGAAAGATGTATTCAGGTGCATATATAGATATAGAGATGAAAACTGACAATGCATATGTTTCTGTCACTTCTGCCGTAACGAACGACGATCTGTCATGATAAATCTACAAATGTCTATTTAAAATGAATGCACAGGAAATTCAGACAAGGACTTTCGGAATTTTCAGTGATACTACTGATGTAAAAGATAGACAATTTTTGTCAGCGTTTTTTGTTCGTTGTAGCTTGGTGTCACTCGCTCCAGCGGTGCAGATTCTGGTAGACGAAGGGCCCACAAAAGAGCCCGTAAATACTTTCACTAAAGGAAAAACCGATACGAATTTTCCACCCTAGTGTTTGATCAGCCCTTGAATAATCTACCAGACAAGTGTTTGATTTACTCGACGTAGACCATATTTGTTCATAAATACCAAAATCTTATCTTGGTGGCCAGGTTGAAGTTGAACATTCCAGCACATCACAGTTGGGTTATGTTAACAGTCCTAATAAAATACAAATGCAGCCAAGTGTTCGCATTTTTACAATGTGTAGACCACAATCAAACCCCGTGAATGCAACTTTGTGCCAAATTATTAACAGTTTGTGAAAAAAAATTACCAAATGTACCTGGAAAACGCGCCAATCCATTAGCACATATAAGCGCTAGAAATGCAGAGTTTATAACCCGGAATTATACGTTTAAATCGTGATGTCGCCAGAAAGGGGTGGTTATATTGTCCGAACGGAATAATTTAGATTGTGAATCTCAGTATTGCTGTTTAAAGGTCAATTGAGGGAATCCACATCATAAAAGAATGCTCTAAATTCACATTGATCGTGATGATCGTTAGATTAAGGCAGATGAAATAGATTGGCGCAATTTTGCAACACTTGTGAAGAAAAGAAGAAAAGTAAAGATTTTCTTCTGTCTGGAACTTCTCTGTCTCAGCAAAAACAAAATCCCGTCATATGAACTTTGAATTAGATTTTAAAATGTCATCTTCATTCATCTTTTGTAGACTAAGTGTTATAATATACATTAGCTGCAGAACTGTAGCTCTCCGAAAAAAATATATTGACAAACCGGAGAGCTACAGTGCCACCCATTGAAAAAACTGTATATTTATTGCGCACAAAAAATTGCGCTGTTTCTCGATTTATTTCCCCATGTTTTTCAAATTGTCATCTCAAAATATTACTAATCGTGATTTCCTTACATATTCTTTCACTTTTTCCACAACAAAACATTTCTTATTATTGTTAATAATAGCCCATTTTTGTGCGCAATAAATAATTAGCCCATACAGTTTTTTCAATGGGTGGCACTGTAGACTCAACTACGAAAGTACTTGATAGAAAAGTAAGGATTTTTTTAAAAGTTAGCTTTTTTGCAATTGAGGTAAAAATTTGAAAGAATTAATCCAGAACCAAGCGCACATTTTTGTGCGCAATAAATAATTAGCCCATACAGCTTTTTAAACGGGTGGCACGCAATAAATATACAGTTTTTTCAATCTGCAGTTCTGCAGCTAAATATACATGTAAAAGCATAATGCAATAGAAACATTTCTTCACGACTCACAGTGTTAAGCAGAAGTGAATACAAGGGAAAAACCCCGTCCGGAATATTCAACATGAATTTCAAATCCCCGTAATTGAAGATTCGGAGGCATATAGCTTTTAGCTCACCTGAGCTGAAAGCTCTCATAAGCGTTTCTCATCACCTGTTGTCCGTCCGTCTGTAAAGTTTTCACATTTTCAACTTCTCAAGAACCACTGGGCCAATTTTAACCAAACTTGGTACAAAGCATCCTTGGGTAATAAGGGGAGTTTTTAAAATTGTAAAAATGAAGGACCAAGCCCCTTTTAAGGATAATCAATGGACAAAAAAGGGTAGGGATTCTAAATAGTTCAAATGACCACCATGGGTAGGGCGGGGCCACAATTGGGAATCCATGTTTAACAATGAAATATATAGGATTGTTTTCCTCAAGAACCACTGGTCGAGAAAAGTTGAAACTTATGTGAATGTATCCTGGGGTTGGGCGAGGTACAACAGGTATTACAAGGGGAAATTCTAGTGAAGTGAAGAGCATGACCAAAGTTACTCAGGTGAGCTTTGAGGCCCAAAGGCCTCTTGTTTGCCCTGTCTAAAAAAATGTTAACCTTGCCAATGATTTTTGGTGGAGATATAGCTTTCATATTTCAAAGGTGCATTTCTTGTGATAAGCCCTTTCTGGGTACATCTACACCATTTTTTTGTCCATCTTGCAACCTTGCAATTTGTCCCACTTGTTCAAAATTTTACCAAACATTTGCCTTGGTCAAAACTTTTAAAAGTTTGGTGTTAGAGCTTTCATACTTCACATGTGTATTTCTTGCGATGTCCATTAGAAAAATATGTAACGTCAGGTGCCTTCATAATGTCTTGGTCATCAATGTTTTTTTCTGACAAGTTTTAAGCCAAATGATTGAATATGGAAACACCTCATTTGCTAATTTCAGTACTCCTGGAGAAGCAGATCTAAGTATGAAAACAGAACAGAAGTGCAACTGCAGTAAATTTATTCTCCAACAAATAAACCTTAACAAGAAGATAAACAATCAACAGAGTATCACAGATATTTGCTTAAGACCAGTTCCAGTAAATATTAGAACTTTTTGTAAAACATTTACAACAGAACAGAAACAATGAACTATATCAGCACCTTCTATATCAACTATACCTTAAGAACTATTTGCACTTAAAAAGATTTCATTCCTCTATTAATTCAAAAGGATCAGAGTCTTCATCTGATTGGTTAACACCCACCATTGCTGGAATTACCATGGAAACAGACATGGCTGACTGAGGTTTGGGGACCGTCTCAAAATCCAGACTCAGCTCCTGTCCCAGATCCTCTGACTGTGTGAAGTCTGTCTCAGTGCAGGGCACAGCCTGCTCCTGGGGGTCCCTCTGACCAGACAAAACAAACTCCCCCTCCTCTTCCTGCTTTATGTCTTTGTTCTCCTTCCTCAGCTCATTTGACTGCTCTGTGTGATCCTCATGAACCTGGTTAGGTAAATCTTCCTTAGAGCATTTCACCTCTTCTGATTCTCCCTGGTCACCAGTTTTATTAGCTACCTTTTGAACAGGACAGAACTTCTTTTTCTTTGGTGGCTTTCCTGTCTGTGGTACAGGTTTAACAGTTACCTCTGAACACCTTGTCTTTTTCTCCCCTTGGCTCTGCTCATCAGAATCCATGTCCATGGTGAACACCTCAGGGTCCAGTTTGAGCTGCCTGTGGGTCCCGGTACGTACATTGTCCTTAGAGACTGTCTCCTGGTCTGCCTGTAGGGACTCTGGTTGACTGTCTTCATCACTGGCCTCGGGACTCCCTACGTCTAGGTCCAGTTGGAGTGGTACATGAGGTGATGAACATACACCGTGTTGGGGGGACTCCTCCCTGTCCGTGTGTTTGTCAGTCTCCTGCTGATGCTCTGTATGACTGTCTGTATCACCGGGGCTAGGTTCCTCCGACTTGACCTCCACATTTCTAACAGCTGTGTTACATCTCTGTGATCTACTCTCTCTTTCCCTGTGGACTTCTGAAAGTAAAATCATTTATTTATCACTCAACTGATGTCCTCAGTTTAAGCCAGCAGGTCATTAGGTAACAAATTTTCACAAAGTTGATAGACAGGTGAAAATAACTTAGTCTGACTGTCAGCTAGGAGAGAATCTATTGGTATTATCAAAATCTGAAAGTGCATGGCATGAATGCCATGAAAAAATATCTGAATCAAATCATTATTCAATTTCTTCATAACTGTCAAAAAATTTTGTTTCATACTAAAATGAAGGAAAAATTAAATGAAGAAAAAAACAAGTTTAACTGCATATGTAATGCATGGTCCACTTTCAAGGTATTGTAGATCACTGAATTTTGGCTGCACCTTATTTTTGGGAGAAATTCATAACTCTCTACAAGTCAGATAAATTTTCATGAAAAGTGGTTATTTCTCTATCTTTACTGAACATCAATATATATATATGCGAGAACGAAAATTTTTGCAAGCAGACTGTCTTGCATAATTACGCAAACAAGAGATGTTTGTGAAAAACTTTCTAAGGTTTCTAAGTCAAAGGGACATAACTTTGTCAAAAATGGCAGAACAGAAACTAAATAGTGGACCGACAAACCAATCACCTGAACGTCAGACAGCAGCAAAGCAATATGCCCTCCCTTCTTTGAGGGAGGGGCATAAAAATATAAAAAGTGATTTACAGTATGTAGTCTGAATTTCAGAATTGAATTTTAAGAATGCAGTCTTTACCTGGATCACTGTCCTCATCCTCGCCTTCATCATCCTTTATTTCCTCCTCATCTGACAACACAAAGTCTGAGTCTGAAAACAACAGGACATTGATGCAGATCTATTATTTTTGGGATTAATTAATTGTACCAAACAATGGAAAAAAATTACAATTAATGAAACTTAAGTCCTCACTAAATCACAGGAACAAGTCAATCAAAGAATATAATTTTTCAAGTTCATAGTAGTCTCATGGGCTTTAAATTCTAAGAAGGGTAACTCTTACTGAACACTTTATCTGGGGGCTATGTACAGTAAACTCGAGATAAACCAAATAAAGAACAATATTCACAAAGAGGCTTGCCCTGTCAAGTAAAATTTTGAAATCAAAGTTCTATAATATGCTCTAAATAATGCCTAAAATATAAACAAGACCCCTGTCACCTCTATCTACACGACTGTTAACATATAAAGTAAGTAGGTAAAACACTAAGGTTAGTCTATGGCTCAACTGACTACCCAGTCTGTACCCTTACCATCAGTAAAACTCTCTAGGCTGTTTAGCACATCATCTAAGCTACTGAGTCTGTACCCTTACCATCAGTGAAACTCTCTAGGCTGTCTAGCACATCATCTAAGCTCCTGAGTGTGTACCCTTACCATCAGTAAAACTCTCTAGGCTGTCTAGCACATCATCTAAGCTACTGAGTCTGTACCCTTACCATCAGTGAAACTCTCTAGGCTGTTTAGCACATCATCTAAGCTACTGAGTCTGTACCCTTACCATCAGTAAAACTCTCTAGGCTGTCTAGCACATCATCTAAGCTACTGAGTCTGTACCCTTACCATCAGTAAAACTTTCTAGGCTGTCTAGCACATCATCTAAGCTACTGAGTCTGTACCCTTACCATCAGTAAAACTCTCTAGGCTGTCTAGCACATCATCTAAGCTACTGAGTGTGTACCCTTACCATCAGTGAAACTCTCTAGGCTGTCTAGCACATCATCTAAGCTACTGAGTCTGTACCCTTACCATCAGTGAAACTCTCTAGGCTGTCTAGCACATCATCTAAGCTACTGAGTCTGTACCCTTACCATCAGTGAAACTCTCCAGGCTGTCTAGCACATCATCTAAGCTATTGAGGAGTGAACTCGGGTCGTTCAGTAGCTCCTCCACTGTTGTATCATCCACCACCTCTACTTGACTCTCCTTACATCCAACCCTAGATTTCTTCTTCTGTTTCCTCTTTAAGGATTTCTTTTCTGGAACTAAAGTTGATTACGTACTGCTTTAATTTTTTAAAACATTGCCTTAATATACACATCTATAAACTAATGTGTTCAAGTTTATATTTTTTATTATTCATATCTGTGGAACAAAAGTTCTAGTTTGGTTAGTACAATGTATCTGCAGCAAGCAGCACTGGATTAAAGTTTGTTAACACAAACTTATAAACTATGAAGTGTTTTGAAAGGAAATCACTTGAAAGGAAAGTCCATATTAGGACTGATTTTGTATCATACCATGGCCTTGTGAACTGTTGTCATCTTTCCCCCATTTCCCTTTGTATCTCTTACAGAAGCTGTAGGTTTTCACTCTTTCCTGGTAAATAACAAACATTTTACATTACATCGAGTTTTTCACAATTTTTAAATGTAATATCTCAAAGCATTTCTGTATTTCTTACTGTTTGCATCTCTGTTATAATGAAGTATGTTTACTCTAGTTGATATGATGTTCACCTGTGCATGCATTGTTTATAAAGCATTTTAGTCACTGCAACCATACATTAACATTTACCTGCTTCTATAATGCACAAATATAGACAACAAAGAAATACAAAAGATGAAAGATTTTGCAGCAAAGAAGGTAAGAATATTTTTTTATGTTATGCAAATACTATAATAGATGAAGTCCTACTGGCTGCCTCTTGAGTTACCTGAATGTCTAGTTGTAAAGCCTGGCTAGCCTTGGCTTTGGCTGCTGCAATCTCGGCTTTGCAGCTTGGAATTTTGCTTTTTTTCTACAAGAAAAATTCCAGCTATATTCATATCAATAAATGAATTTAAACAAGAGGCCCGTGGGCCACATCGCTCACCTGAGCACTGTGGCTAGCATAAAAGCAGAAATTAGTTTCTTATTGAAAAGTTTAAACCAAAAATTAGTCCCAACCATTCCTTAAAGGGGAGAGGGTATGATTTGCACTAACTTGAATCTACACTACCTGAGAATGCTTCCATATAAATACATGTATGACCAATCATGTCTTTGCTATTCTTGAGAAGATTTTTAAAGAATTTTACTATATATTTCTATGTTAAACTTTGGTCAGCCAGTGTGGCCCCGCCCAACCCCCAGGGGTCATGATTTGAACAAATTTGAATCTACACTAACTGAGGATGCTTCCATATAAATATGATCAATCATGGCTTTGCTATTCTTGAGAAGATTTTAAAAGAATTTTCCTACATATTTCTATGTAAAACTTTGGTTGGCAATTGTGGCCCTGCCCAACCCCCAGGGGTCATGATTTGAACAAATTTGAATCTACGCTACCTGAGAATGATTCCACATGAGTTTCATCTTTTCTGGCCCAGTGGTTCTTGAGAAGAAGATTTTTTTAAAAAACATGCCAACTTTCCAATTTTTCTATTTTAAACCAAATGCCTTGAAATTCACAATTTTGAAAGAGGCACCATTGTTTATCATAACTATACATTTAGCATGCTTAATTTGGTTAAGGGAGATCAGAGTGAGAGAAAATGCATGTCCACTTTGTAACCACCAGTTGTGCACACCAACCCAAAGGAACCACTGACCCAGGGGCCACATATTTTAAAATTTTATAAATTTCATAAATTTGTTTCATCAGAAGTTAATATCAAAGAACGGATTTCAAAGTTGGCTAACACCCCCCCCCCCCCCGGCCCACAGTACCCCTCTTGAGGGGCCCTGAAATTAACCATTTTGAAAATGTGATATATAATATATACTTAGATCATTAGCATTATACCAAGGAGCAAAGGAAAATATTTCGCTAATTCATGCGTTTTCACAATATAATCATTATAGAGCCCCACCCTAACACCAGAACCTCTGACCCAGGGGTCATGAAATTCACAAATTGGGAAGAAGCATCCTTCCTCATCATAAATATGTGTATAATTCAGTGGTTTTTTACCAGAAAAAAGAATTTATGCATTTTCACTATATGATCAACAGAGCATGAAATTCACAATTTTTTAAGAGGAGGACTTATTTAATATAACCATTTACTTGTTAGTCTATTTCATACCCAGAAAAAGAGAAGAAGATTTTTTAAAGAATTAATGTATTTTCACTATATAAACAATTAAAGAGCCCCGCCCTAACACCAGAACCCCTCACCAATGGGCTATGAAATTCACAATTTTAGAAGAGGCATTCTCGGTCATAATAACTATGTACTTAGTTTGTTTGTTTTATATCCAGGAGCAGAGAAGAAGATTTTCAACATTTTCACTATATAAATGTCCACCACATATAAGGCTATATAAAATTGAAATTCTGCAGAGGAGAAGATTTTTAAAGAATTTCATTTTTACATATAATCAATAGAGGCCCGCCCTGCATGAAATTCACAATTTTGGAAGAGTCTTATTCAACATAGTACTTATTGCTAATTTTATTGTATTTTAGAAGATTTTCAAAGTAATAAAAATATAACCTGTTTAGGTATTGCACAATTTTGGTAGAGGACTCAATGCTGATTACAATCAAAACAGTTTGACTGCTTGATGTCCAGGAGTAATTTTTTTGCACTAATTTAGTATTTTTGCAAAGGCCCCAGGGGGGTATCACTTTTTTTCCGGTAGCCATTTGCTATATGCCATATGGTTGAAATTTTGTTTGAAAATACAAAAGTTGAGAACATTGCCTACAAAAACAATGTTCACACTCAGGTGATAAAAATGCAAATTTTTCAGATAAAGCAAACCTTTTGATCAGACACCTGGAAAGTATATATCTGTGAAGAAAAAAATCAAAAGTTTACTCAGAAGCTACAGATGAGCCGGACAAATTGTGACAGAAAAGCTCACTTGAGCTTTCATGGATTATTGCAGCTATTTAGGTACATGAATTAAACAATTTATATTCTGAAAATGAAAAAATTATATAAAATTAAAATTCTATCAATATAATTTTATTGTATTTTAGATAAAATAAAATTTTGGTATTGCACTGACAGTGTCCTAGTTTTTCAATATTCAACTATCACTTTCGGTAGCCATTTGCAAAGAGATTTTGGCCACTTCGCTTGAAAATACAATTGAAGACATTGCCTACGATGTTCACACACAGATAAGCAATGGATGAAGCAAACCTTTTGATCAGACATGGAAAGCATATCTGTGAATAAAAAAAATTATCTTTATTTTAAAGAAAATTCGAAAATTAAAAAGAAGTACCTCCCTCATCTACTTTGTTGCAAATAAAATGATAAATAAAATGCCTCCCGCCCGCATCTGTTTTGACGAAAATTGGCCTGAGAACCAGAGAATTAAATTTAGATAGCCTAACATATTAATGGAAATGTTATATGCCCCAGATAATTCAAACACAAAATATTCACTTTTGCTTTGTTATCTTGGTCAAGAGATTCTAAAGTATACTGTCAGAATATCCAAGTCACTCAGTCAAACCTGTTAGTAAAATTGTCTGTAAACTTTGACAAGTGTATGAAGTTTTCAAAGTCAAATTATTATTGAAAAGGTAAAATCCAATGTTTATTTTATATATGATTTTCTAAAACTTTTTAAAGAATTTTATATATTTCTATGTAAAACTTTATTTTTGGCGTTTGTATTTGAATCTACACTATCTTCCATATAAATATGCGGTCATTCTTGAGAAGAAGATTTTTAAAGAATTTTCCTATACACATGTATTTCTATGTAAAACTTTGTACCCCCGGGGGTCATGATTTGAAAAACTTGAATCTACACTACCTGAGGGTTCCATATAAATATGATGAATTATGGCTTAGTCATTCTTGAGAAGAAGATTTTTAAAGAATTTTCCTATATATTCTATGTAAAATTTTGGTCGGCAATTGCTCTTGATTTGAACAAACTAAGCTACACTACCTGAGGATGCTAAAAATTATTATATTTTTCTTAAAAGAAGATTTTTAAAGAATTTTCCAATATATTTCTATGTAAAACTTAGGTCACTTTTGGCCCTCATCTACTTTATTGCAAATAAAATGATTTTTAAAGAATTTTCCTATATATTTCTATGTAAAACTTTGGTCGGCCATCTTGCCCGATTTGAACAAACTTGAATCTACACTCTGTTTATAAATATGAAATTATGGCTGGTCATTCTGAGAAGATTTTTAAAGAATTTTCCTATATATTTCTTTAAAACTTTGGTCGGCCATTTTGGCCCCATATTAATGGAAATGTTATATGCTTCCACATAAATATGATGAATTATGGCTTTCTTATTCTTGATAAGAAGATCTTTAAAGAATTTTCCTATATATTTCTATGTAAAACTATTCACTTCAAATTTGAATCATTGTTATCATCTTTCCTGGCACAGTGGTTCTTGAGAAGAAAAACATACCACCAAATTTTCATTAATTGCCAATTATAATAGGGCATGGCCCTTCATTTGAATATCCCCTTCACCCAAGGATGCTTTGTGGCAAGTTTGGTTGAAACCTGTTAGCAAAATTGTCTGTAAACTATGACAAGTGTTAATAAAAGTTTGCAAGGTCAAATATTCTCTCTATATACAGGGAGAGGTGTCTACTTACAGATAGCAGTAGACAATTCAGATTTTCTTTTCCAATGAATGGCTGAATACAGGAGGTTCTCAGCCAGGCTCTGGATACTCGATCATCAAAGAACACAACATGATAGTGGCTCTAATAATGAAAATAACAATGTACATGTGCTTTATTCGTACACGTACAGTGAAATCTGTTAATCAGAACACAATGGAAATGTTTCAGAATATATAGGGAGGCAGATTGCCCAGTGTAAAAACCAGAGAAATTAGTAAAATTGGAATTTTAATGGTCAGAGTTCACAGGGAAACAGATATCATACAGGTGCAGATTTCACTGCATGTACAGGAAACTTCAAAAACTGGTTTGCATGCTTACACTGTTCTTCAGGATAATGAGTAATTGTTTTGGTTAAATGTTAATTTGGTACAAGACAGCTAGATATGATTATAGTAAAACTCGGTTATAATTTAGTCACTGAGACCTATGAAATTACTTCGCTATATCCATAATTCATTAAATCCGTATAAAAAATTCGATAAATCTATAAAGCTGGGGATCCAAGAAAACTTCGCTATATCCAAGAATTTGAAATATCCGTGTTCGTAATAAACAAGTTTTACTGTATCATGGTTCAAGAAATAAAGGGAAATAAACCTTTTTATTTGGCAAATAAGATTGTCAAGATAAAAAAAAATATAGAAGTGATAATGCAGTGTCTTGCAGTCATTTATACCTACAGTGTACATTAGGTTAAAAATAAACTTACTGGAAACATGCTCTCAGGATTTGCCAGTTCAAAATAATATTCACTGTCAGGGTCCATTTCAATCATTGCTGGCCACCTACGCAAGAGAAAGAACTTGAGGGAACATTGTTTTCAGAAGCATTTAACTCCAAATGGAGTTAAAATAAAGCCAAACTCAGTTCCATGTAAATCATAAATTTCCTAAATGCTGACCGTATGAAAGGCCAAAGGTTTGCGAGGTACGTTGATAGCACAGATACTTGCACTTGTCTTGCTAAGTTTTAATTATTCAGACAATTCACTACATGTTTTTGATAATATTAGCATATCCAAAAAATAATATACACAAGAGATGTTTGTAAAACACTTATGCCCCCTCCCCCCAAATTGGAATTTTTCCAGGTCCCAGGGGCAAAACTCTGTCAAAAATGGCACGATTGTACCCAAAACAGAATTTGACCTAGATATTCATCTGATAAATCTGTATACTAAATTTCATCTCAGCCTGTGCAATGGTTGTGAAGAAAATGAACGGAAACTGCAAGTAATTGGAATTTTTCTAAGTCCAAGGGGCATAACTCTGTCAAAAATGGTGTGATCATACCCAAAACAGAATTTGACCTAGATATTAATGTGAGATATCTGTATACCAAATTTAATTTCATTATGTTCAACGGTTGCAAAGAAAATGAACGGAAACTGCAAATAATTGAAATTTTTCTAAGTCCAAGGGGCATAACTCTGTGAAAAATGGTGCAATTGTACCCAAAAAAGAACTTGACCTAGATATTCATCTGATAAATCTGTATACTAAATTTCATCTCAGTATGTGCAACAGTTGTGAAAAGAAAATGCAGGAAACTGCAAATAATTGGAATTTTTCTAAGTCCAAGGGGCATAACTCTGTCAAAAATTGGGCCATCCTACCCGAAACACAACTTGCCCTAGATATTCACGTGATATATCTGTATACCAAATTTCATTTCAGTATGTGCAACGGTTGCGAAATTTCCTAAAATGAACGGAAAGGCCAAAGGTTTGCAAAGTACGTTGATAGCACAGCAGCAAAGCAATATGCCCTCCCTTCTTTGAAATATTAGCATAAAAATTGTATGCATCAAAGTCTTTAAATTGTTAAACTACAATTTCTTTTAATTCAGAAAAGGAAATTATGCAACTATTTTTTTCCTACCAGGGGAATCCTGCCATTTTGGCCCAGACAACTGTTCCCTCTGAGTAGGTAGTGTAGATGTGCTCGTCTTCATTGTACTCCTGTTCTGCTACGTCACAGGTGTTATAATCCTCATCTACAGAGACAAAGTCAGACAGTACTGTAAAGTTGTAAACCAACTATTATTTGTGTCTTCTTTTATTGATTTCGTGATTCATCAGTTTGAAATCAATCTCTGATCATTTATTTTCGCAACTGAGGAAACATTCTCTATGAATACAGAGAAAAACAAATGGTTCGCAGTAACAAATATCTGCGAATTAACATAGGTCGCGGAACTCGCAGATATTTCTCACACGCAAATAAAACTTGATTTACAGTATTATGTCAAAAACTTCAACCACACAGAACTTAAAATTAATAATAAAACCTTAATCAACTTTATCTGACACACCCCCCTAAATTACAGCATATCTCCGTACCTTTATTCATGCTACAGAACCAATCCTCGGGCAGCTCTGATGGATCCTTAACATCTGACAGATACCTCCACTTCTTACAGGATTTGTTACAACACTGCACCCAGGTACCTGTACAACAAGGACAAAGAAATATAGTACATAGGTTCCTGATGAGTGCAAAATTGACAATATGCAACAAAGGCAAATTTGAAACAGGCTAACCATGTATTGTATGATCTTTTGTCTTGAGCTCGCAACTCCTGATTTTACCAACTTACCATACTGAAGGATATCTCGTTCCATCATTCTTTGTTTACGATCCATCTTAACTTCTGTTTTCTTTTCTGTTAAGCCTTTAGCTTCTAAAAAGCCAAAAGTGGAATCTAGTGTCCGATATATTACATGTAAGCTAGATTTTATACCACCAAAACAAGGTTATAATAATACTATGTATAATATTACAAAATCCCCTTTTTCCTTCAATGTACCGGTACACAGTTTTTTTAAGACCTTTTATTCAAATGATTGATTCAGACACAGATAAGAAGTACACACTTTACTACTGCTTCATTGACATACCGAGTGGCCTCCCCTTTTTAGGACACTTTCCATCCTTATAACTCTGATCCTTTTTCTTCTGTACAGTTGAGGACTGGGTGGTTTTACACAATGAAGGCTTCTGTGGAGGTAAGTTTGGGGATCCTACTTTAACTTTCAATCCAGGTTTATCTTTCTTCTTAGTTTTCTCTAACCCCCTGGAAAAAAAAGCAAGAATTCAAGTGTAATTATTTTTGCTCATGAATGTTGAATAATGACTGTAAAAAAAAGAACTCTAGAAGTCTTGTAAACAGCTAATATTTTCCTGTTTCTAAAAATCCATGACTGTTCGTTGCTTATTGTAAAAAAAGCAAATTACTTGTTTTTCTGTGAAAATTTTGGAGCCTTTTTTTCTGTGACATTTTTCTGTTTCACTTGTTTTGGTCTGTTCTCCTTGTCTTCCTCTATACAGCTTCTCTTATCCTCTGACATATCAATCCCAGGGCTTACTACTGAAGCACTCATCTGTGTATTTTGAGTGGATTCTATATCTTGGTCCCCCGACACATCACTGGATGAGCTTAATACAGGACCCGTCTTTTTACTTGGAGTAAACTTGACATTTTTGTCTACCGACATATCAGCAGAGGGACTAACTACTGAAGGACTTGTCTGTTTACTCAGAGTGGACTCATTGTCCTGCTCTTTCACTGCTTTGGCACTGTGACCTGACTTGAATTCTGGCCTCTTCTTTATAACTTGGTGCTTGACTTTTTTAAGTTCCGTTATGTTCTGTTTGTTAATCTTCTCTTTGGGTGGAGGTAGAGTTGATTCACTGCTACTCTTTGATTTTTTGGAAGAGGCCATCACTGGAAAAGACTACCTTGTTCATAACCGTGTAAAAACAGTATTTTTTTACTTAATCAGTCCAGTCCAATACAAAAATTCGTAATATTACGAAAAAACGTAAGATTACGAGAAAGCATAATATTACAAGTTATCGTAATGTAAAACTTATATTACAATTTTTCGTAATGTAGTTAAATTACGAATACGCGTAATATAGCAGATGTTAAGACTATATTACAGTTTTTGTAATCCTTTTAAATTCAAGCATTGCAAGAAATTGAGTGGCGGGTATCAAAGTATGACGTTTACTACGAGATGTCACGGGCGATAACTTGTACGACTCTTACTGAGATTTGAATTCTGCATGAATTTCAATAAGAATTGCACGAACAGTTGAATTATGAGACGAGGGTGTGATTTTTAGGGTAGACTTCGCAAAAAAAGTAGGGAGTTCGGGTGATATAGACCAATGCGACATGCTTAACGAATATTGAAATTTACTGGTTTGGTCTTATCCTTGGGAAAATTCCTATAAAAGAATAATAAAAGAAATTGTCCACTCACCCATCGCTGGCGGTATTATAATTTTTTTTCTGATAGGCGTAACTGACCAAATGACCGCGTGCTATCAAAGCCGTGAAATCTTGATATATTACAGCTCATATTTGCTACCCACCACTCAATTTCTTGCAATACTGAATTTGTCTTGGATTACGATTCGTAATAAAAATCTGCTATATTACGTGTTTTTCTAACTACATTACGAAAAAGTGTAATATAAGTTTTATATTACGATAACTTGTAATCTTACGCTTTTTCGTAATCTTACGTATTTTCGTAATATTACGAATTTTCGTATTGGACTGGACTGTTAATCTAAAACAAATTAAATGATACAAATCTCAAATTGATGATAATATTCAAGTACCTACCCATAACTTTAAATATGCCTGCTGTTTAATTTAAACAAGAGGCCCACGGGCCTTATAGGCAACCTGAGCATCATGCAACAACTTTCAAATGATTGAATTTGGTTCACGTTTTAAGCTAGATGCTATGGCATTCACAATTTTGAAAGAGGCACCATTGCTCATCATAACTATACACTTAGCAATTACTTAGTTTGGTTACAAAGATTTAATGTATTTTCACTATATAATTAATCAATAGAGCCCCATCCTAACACTAGAACCCCTGACCCTGGGGCCATAAAATTCACAATTTTGGAAGAGGCACTTTTGCTCACCATAACCATGATAACTATGTACTCAGTTGGTTTATTTAATACAAAGGAGCAGAGAAGAAGTTTTTCAAAGAATTAATGCATTTTCACTAAATAATCAATACAGCCCCATCCTAACACCAGAACCCCTGACCCTGTTCATAAAATGTAACAAACAGTATTTTTTTATAACTAAAACAAATTAAATGATTTATTTAATCTCAAATTGATGAGATATTAAGATTTACAAAGAATTAATGCATTTTCACTATATAATCAATACCAGGGATTTTCCAAACCATTTTGGGAATGGGGCCCATGCCCTTACAAATGGGAATTTAACGACATTTTATCACTTTTTGGGAATTTTTATTGAATGATATTTTTCAAGAAATAAACACTTATAATGAATAAAATTGATTTTTATTATTCAAAACTATAATCCAGATAACAGATTAATTATCATGAAGTTTTAGTCAAATTTCCTGAAATTTTGTTCATTTCATTCAGATTTCTAACCTTTCCATGTTTGTCTTACATGAATTTTAATCAAGTTAACTTTGTGGACTTTTAGTGCATTCAAAAATTGAACACACACTGTTCATTTTTGTGAAAAAATGGAAGGAATTTGCAATTGGGAATGGGGCCCATATTCGGCCCTACATGGGGTAGTGGAAAATCCCTGAATACAGCCCCACCCAACACCAGAACCCCTGTCCCTGGGGCCATAAAATTCACAATTTTGGTAGAGGCACACTTGCTCATCATAACTATGTACTTAGTTAGTCTATTTAATACCCAAAGCAGAGAAGAAGATTTTCAAAGAATTAATGCATTTTCACTATATATAATCAATAGAGCCCCACCCCAACACCAGAACTCTTGACCCTGGGGCCATACAATTCACAATTTTGGAAGAGGCACTCTTGCTCATTATAACTATGTACTTTGTTGGTTTTTTTTAATACCCAGAAGCAGAGAAGAAGATTTTCAAAGAAATAATGGATTTTCATTATATAATCTATAGCCCCACTCTAGCACTAGAACCCCTGACCCTGAGGCTATGAATTTTGGTAGAGGACTCAATGCTCATTACAATCATGCCAACAGTTTGACTGCTTGATGTCCAGGAGTAAAGAAGATTTTTAAAGACTGCGACTAATTTTGGTTGGTTTTAGTCCAATCCTTCAGGCCCCAGGGGGGCAGGGACAATGAAATTCACAATTTTTGTTCCCCTTCACCCGTAGATGCTTTATGCCAAAATTGGTTGAAATGGTTGAGCGGTTGCAGAGAAGAAGCTGAAAATGTTCAAATGTTAACACACGACGCACTACGCACAACGACAGATGAAAACGGATAGCAATAGGTCTCCTGAGTTTACTTAATAAAATCGGGACATTGGTTTCCCTGTAACAAATATATAAACAAAGACATTGAAAAATATCTTAAATTTATGTCTTTCACAATACCAAAGATATTCTTTAATTAAAATTCTCTGATTAAACAGAGTACTGATTAAGATGTTGAGACTTACGATCCTCCAGGGGTGTGTTCATTACTCTGTTGATGGCGTTCCTGAAGATTTCTTCATACTCCTCATCACTCAGGGAATGAACAGGAAGGGGTGGTCTCTTTACTGTATTGGCCTTCTACATAAAAAGATGGTACTAATTTCAATAAGAATAAGTTTTACCTTTGTTTAATAAATATTTCTTAAAATTCTTTTAAATTGAAAGTAATACTTTTTACTTAAAGTCAAAAAAGAAAAAAAACAACTTAATTACACTTGTGAAGTTACAGGGTCACAAGATAAATGTAATCTTTACATCACAAAACTCTATCTGCATGCATTTAAAAGTATATGGTAGCTTTAACAATATCCTTATAGTGCACATACTCACAATTTGAAATATATTACTGATAAAAGTCTTTCATAACTCACACTAGCTGATTTGGATTCACCAATCTTTGTATCATTTAATGATTGCTCTGCTTCTGCAGACCTTATTTCTTCTTCATCCATCTGAGTTGCAGGTGACGACACTTTAGTTTCACCTCCGTCTACTTTTGTTTCTGTTGTGGTAGATTTCACCCCATCCTTCTCCTCTATTTTATTGTCCTGTTCACCAGTGCCAAGATTTGTTTCCTTTTCCAATAGATAAGAAGATAATAATTTAGCAATAGAAAATAATATTTAAGCATTTGTTAACGAGTTCTAATCAATTTAAACCCAGATGTGACTCCGTACCTGTACTGGCTGCTCTTGTACTTTCAAACCTATTGACAAAGACTTCTTTTTGCTTTTTTTCTCAGAAGGTTGATCACCATCAGATTTTCTTTTCTTGGTAACTTTTTTGCTACTTGAGATTTCTTGTTTTTCCTTTTCCTGGCATTTGATATCAACAGCATCGTGAGTTATTTTTATCTCAGTACTTTCATGTTCAGTATTTTTGCTGCCTTCTTCCTTGAAAAATAAAAAAAAAATCAGATTTATTGCAAGCAAAAAAGAGGGGATTTCAAAGTTCAAGAGACCGTTAAAATAATATTCAGGGTTTTTTTTTATTTAATTACATGGAACTTCGTTGTTAATTTGTATTACCCTATGGAGGAAAATAATTCAATAATTACAAATTACATCTCTGTAGTACAAACATATAGAGGTTTTATTGTTCATGATCAACTGTGTTTGATTTGATTCATTTCAATTTTGTAATTCTGATTTATCATCATGATCATACCTTAGCCTTCTTCTTCGATTTCTTTATTGGTTCTGCATTTGAAGTAGTCTTCACTGGGGCTAAAAGAAGAAAATATCCAAACATTTTACAATTTTATCAACAGAAAATAATAAATTCTACAACAACTTTGGCAGACTTCAAGGATGATCAAACCTAACAACCCCCTCTTTCCATATTTAATGCCATCAATGACCATGCAGAAAATACTGATTTTAAAAATGTAAATAAATTACACATGATGAGTTGCAATTAATGCCATTCAAAGCAAACTAAACTCATTGTGACTGAAAGTCCAGTGTTTTCCCTAAGAACCGGCCAGCGGCCAAATTGACCGCTTCATTTCACAAATATGCCACTTTAAATAATGATTTTGTAAGGTTCACAGAGATTCTGTTCGTAAACCTCAACCCCTAGATTGTTACAAATGATCTCTAACCCTTTACTTTGAAATATTGGGAAAACACTGCAAGTCAGATGGGTTTGACCACCACTGGTCCAGATCTACAGCTCCGTTGGTACAGTAGCTGACTGGAGATTCAGAGGGCCTGGGTTTGAATCCCGTTCTAGCCAACCGTATTTTTCTCCTCTGATATTTCATTAAATGGTGCTGTAGCAATGTCCTGAAAGTTACAGGTGAAAGACCTGTCAGGGAAGACCAGGGGTTGGTTTCTACAAGGCAAAAAACCTTCAAGGAGGGAGGAATGTGGTGCTCACACTGCTTTGATTGCCGGGGCCAGATAGTTCAGTTGGTGGAAAACCTGACTACAGATTAAAGGATTTGAATCTTAGTCTACTCCCCTGCACATTTCTCCTCTCCCCATATACTGTACTACTATTACTCATAACATAAACTGCACATTTATTAAGAATATTGATATCTATTGGCTTATATAGTGACTTAATTTGTTATTGACAATAATATTGCATTGCCGTATAATTAATATGTTTTATTCAGTAAGATATATCAGCAAAATGCTTAGACTTGTGGTATGTGAAGTCCTATATATGTAAGTAAAGATGCCAGAAATGTTTTTAATCATGATAAACAGTATTTTTTTTTTAATCTGAATTCATATCCACCCCGCCCTTTTGCAATAAGCAATCATGGACTTAGCTGCAGATGGAACTGTAGCATTATGGTTTTATATATTTGTCTGTGACCATAATGCTACAGTTCCCGTAATGCAAATACGGTAATGTGCAATTAACGCCGCAAGATGTTTAGCGTTCCTTTTGGGAGAATTTCTCCACTTTCCAACTTTGGTAAATCATCTACTTTTCACCCTCTAATTCTTAACACATTATTTAACCAATTTGTATATTTTATCCTCCTCTCGACCCTAATTGTGGAGGGAAAGAAGACTCTGCCCGCCTTGTTCCCCCATCTTCTTTAAAACTGGTAGATGATTTACAAATGTTGAAAAGTAGAGAAATTCTCCCAAGCAGTGCGCAAAAACTCTGGCGCCGTAAATTGCACATTTTTTACCTTAAGGGATCTGTAGCATTATGGTCAAAGACTAATACACTGTATATAAAACCATACAGCTATAGTTCTGCTGTGAGTGAGCTGCAATGGACCTAACCTGTAAGAACAGACGAATTTCAGAATCCTAAGAGTTATCTCCCGTTGTCGCATAATGCTCGTATTTCCAACTTTGTCCTTTGCAAGTTACCTCTTAATATTTTTAATCTTCAAACATTATAGGAATATTTCTATCTGTACCTGTGTTGCTATTCCTAAACATAATGAACATATTCATACAGAATTTATTTCTGGGACACTGACCCATAAAGTTGGTAAGGTTATAGAGGGAAACAGTACTAGTGCCTTACGCCAGTTGACCCCGGATTGACCCTGCAGAAGGAGATAACTTTTTGTTAAAGTCGTTTGTAGATCTATAGATCGATGATTTTACTTAAATATTTTTTTAAAAAATTATATCAGGGGACTATATATTCAACTAAATATATAGCCAATAAGTCCCGGGCCTGATTTCATCTTTGTTCATTGAATTTCTACATTAATGTACAGTGCGCTGTACAAAGTAAGTGTTAACTTTTGAAATAATTAAAACCTAAAATGGTTGAGCCAATGTTGGCCTTTCGATCAACTTTTCAAAAACAAAACACCTGAAAATCCTCTTTTTGTAGTTTTCTTTGACTGGGGCGCTGAATCTTCCATTCTCTCAGTTAGTAAGGCATGTCACCTGTTTCAAGTATAAAATTTACAGATGAGTACTCTCCCTCCTCCTAAATCATTAGATCATGTTCATTCTGTAGAAAATTGACTTGCGCATAACAATATTAATAAAGATCTTGTAAACAAAAAAGATTTATAATTGAAGAAGTTAAATATTTTGTAATGTTGGTACTCAACTGTTACAGTTATTATCATGAACTGCAAATTTTCTACATCTGCACATCAAGCAGTCTAAGGCATCCACTCGTGTACAGACGATTATGCCGTTTCCGTTTTACCCACAAATCGCCACGAGTAAACATGCGCACTCGATAATTACTGTCGATGGGCGCTTGAAGTGTGGAGAAGGAAATTTTGTCATTTGACGAATATTAGCGCATATATTGACATTTCCTCTTTTATTGGACCATTTGAGGTGGCCATTGACATTGTTAATCCTCTATTTTGTGACAGGGTGTTTGACAATTTGTGTTGTTGTTGAGAACATACGTGCAGAAGTTGAATTAGTGATTGACCGATAGGTGGCAGCAGAGTCGTTTAGTTTACTCGCAACACGTGCGCGATGTAAACAATACGACACGAGTACGTTAGTGAAGTGGTCGTGGATCGGTGATATGTTCACAGTGTTTCAGAACAATGAGTGTGGAAGTGAAAACGCCGACGCGGACACAGTTTGAGCACACTGAATTCCAGTGTGGTGAAAAAACAACCCCCGAGCTGAACTTCGGTGGAGATGACGATCGTCGAGATGGAAAGTTCGACTTCAAGAAAGAACAAGACAGCCAATCCAAATCACAAAACTTCGGATATAGAAAGAGGAAGGCTAGTCATGCCAGTAAGAATGACTTAACTATACAGCATGGAGGATACAGGAAGAAAAGGTTTCGATCAGAGAGTAACATTGTGCTCCCAACGAAGTTTTTACTTGGTGGGAATATTAATGATCCATTAAACTTGAACAGTTTAAATGATGAGACAATTAATGAACTTCTTAATCAGAAGACACCCCAGTCCTCACCTCTTCCAACCCCCCACCACCGGAAGGACATAGAGGTCACAATCCCCATAAATATTAACGACCCTCTGAACTTGGACAGTAACGAGGATGCCTCATCTAGTAAAAAGAAGAAGCGGAATAAACATAAACGGAAAAGTGAGGATACACCATTACCACAGAAAGAATCGGAGAAGAGGCGAGGGTTGATGGAGGCTCTGAAAATTGAGATAGATGACACTTTCCCTTCAGCTCCAGTGGTGCAGGAGGATTCTCCACAAAATGAATCTGCCAAATTAAAATTTAAAAAACCAGACACAATTGTATCCCCCGTTATACCTCAAATTTCCCCAAGCAGCCGCCGTTTCCGTCGAAGGACACTGAGTTTGAGCGATGCAAGACCTGACCAACAGCCGTCACAAAGTACGTCACGCGCCATTCTGCGGACGTCTCTCAGTCCGCCCAGACAATCGGCATTAGAGATCGAGGACTTGACACCCGGGAGGAAGTTCAGGAGACAAGTAAGCCAAAAATCTGACAGGCCTCAGAAGAAAAATCAGAGAAATAAAAAGTTTGTTTATGGAAATTACAATCGATACTACGGGTACCGGAACCCTGAGGCAGAGGAAGATCCCCGACTGGCGTGCATGAGAGCAGAGTGGTTCGAGGGAAAGGACGTGTTAGATATTGGATGTAATGTAGGACATGTTACACTGACAATAGGAAAAAGGTTTCACCCAAGGAAAGTCGTGGGAATAGACATAGATCACACACTCATTGCAGCTGCCAGAAAAAACATTAGGAATTACATGTCCAGTAAATCAGCTGATGTTCAAAAGTACCCATTGTCAGTTCCCATTAACTATGGTCCCATTGCTGCCCCGGCTGTGTCCCAAAAAACACAGAGTCCAGGTTTCCCTGCTAATGTGGCATTTATGAGGGTAAATCCACTTTGAGCCTTCTTTTTTAACCATGTCAATATGGTTAGAAACATGATAAATATATTCATATTGTTTGAGTATAATTTCTAAGTAAATGATAAAGTTAGATGAGTACAGAATGTTGCCAGTAAATAAAGTATAGTTCTTGCATGAAGAATTAACTTTTCAATTATGTTTTGAAATGAAGGAATTTAGTGAATTTTAAAAACTGGCTAAACCAATTAATTTACCAGAAATAACTAAGTTCTGTTTATATTTTATGTTTCAGGAAAACTATGTTCTGGAGAGTGATGAGTTGGTAGGCTTACAACATGAAGAGTACGACGTCATAATGGCCCTGAGCCTCACTAAATGGATCCACCTGAATTTCGGTGACAGCGGACTGAAGAGGTTTTTCAAACGAATCTTCAAGCACCTGCGTCCAGGCGGCCGGCTGATTCTGGAACCCCAGCCCTGGTCATCATATAAAAAGAAGAAAAAAATATCAGTAGGTTTCCTTGCTGGTTTTCTTTCATAATCATTTTATCATTCCTTTACTCTCAGTTTGCATAATGTTGGAATACATAATTTTTATATTATCTTGTTTTTATTAAAAAAGGTCTTTTTGCCCCATAAAAATATCATTTATAATCATATAAATTTAGGTATAGTGTATTTTTTAGAGTAAACAACTACTGTTTTTGAAATGGATTTTTATTTGCATTTGTTATTTAAAAAAAAACATGAAAAAAATTTTGATAATAAAATTTAGTGTTATCTCTATTGGTCGATAATGTTTTTTTCTCATTTATAGAATAATGACCATATTCAGAATGAGTAAAGAAAAAAACTATTTTTAATACTATGAAACACATTAAAATAGAAACACTTATTAAGAAAATGATTGATTTTTTTTCTGTTTATTTGTAAAGGAGGAGATTCAGAAGACTTTCCAGGGGATTCAGATGAGGCCGGCCCAGTTCTCCGACTATCTCCTGTCACGCGAGGTGGGCTTCACAACATGTGAAGTGATCGACATCCCCTACCACAAATCCAAAGGTATATAAGAGTTATCTTTCTTAGAGCATGGAAAACAAGATTATAAATGTCATTTTATGATTTAGTTAAAATAAATTTGGTTTAGGGAAGATATACACAGTTTGAAAATGCAGATACTTTGAACAAATTCAAATTACATATAAAAATTATTAAAAAAAAAAAGAAAAAATAGCTGAAATCTGACATTTTTTCTGGACTTTGGTATAGGTTTTAGAAGACCCATCCAAATGTACAGAAAACAAGAAACTGCACACAGCAGCCCAAAACAAGAACTACTCTCACAGACTTCAACTGCAACACACAGCAGCCCAAAACAAGATCCACTGTCACAAGGATCAACTGCAGAGGCACACGGCAGCCAAAAACAAGATCCACTAGCAAAGTCAATAGCTGTAGCACACAGCGACAGAAAACATGATCAACTCTCACGGACAACAACCCTCATACAAAGCAGCCATGAGGGAATTAGTATGGAACAGTTCTCACAAAGAACAACAATCTCAGACGGAACTAGCCAATCAGAAATCAGACTAGATATAACTGCCCAATCAGAAAACAGCTCGGATTTAGTAAACCAACCAAAAATCAAAGTCGATCTAGAGGTGCTCACCCAATCAGAAAACAGACTTGATCAGGAAAGAAGCAATAAATCAGAAAAATAGTTGTGATTTGAAGCACAGTGACAAGCTTAGTTTTTTCAATGATGGGGCAAAAACTGAAATTTTTTGGAAGAACTGCAAAATCACTTGGAGAGACCTTAAAACTTTCAAAAGAAATTTCTTTAAAAAACAAAACTGCTGAACAATGCTGAATAATGAGTAGTTTCAATTATGTTTAAAATTTGTTTCAATGAATAGTGCAATATATTCTGATTTTGAAAGTATCAGAGAATTAAGGTGGCATGTGCCAGATTATTGTGTCAGAAAATTAATGTGGTATGTGCTGATTGACTTTACCTTGTTGCTGATCCATTGTTCTGTGTCACAGAAAAAAATACAGTGAACTTGTTAACTGGCAGCTTCATGTTGAATTCTGTGCATGATTATCCCATGTGTGACATGGAAACATTACAAAAATGTAATTGTTCTAAACCTAAACTACATCTGAAATACAACAAATGAATTTTTTTTGACTTTGTCATATTTTTTATAATAGGAGTGTTCGTTTACAATGATGAAAAACTGAATATAATGTCTTCAATATATTGACGTTTGTCCAGTTTAGGTATTAAGCAAATATTCCTGTACAAATGTACTTTTGTAGCAGCATATTAACTATCTTGAGACTTGGGTAGAATTCACCATATGGCTATCCTCTACTTTCCCAGAAATGGAAGATGATTGTACATTCTGGCAGTGCTGAGCAACATACAGAGTAATAGAAGAATCTCTAGATACCCCCCCCCCCCCCAAAAAAAAAATCACTATAAACATGTTAAAGGTTAATAATAATCAAAGACTGGACATATTTCCATCAGATATTAATTAAAGCTAAACATTTGCAATTTGTAAACTTGATTTGAAATTTAAATGTTCATTACGTGTACAAATAGGTAGCAGTAATGTAAAACGCTGTAGCCCTGGAAAATGGTAACAGCGTTTGAACTTTGACTGCATTCTTATGTAGAATTGTTCCAGAGATTGTTTCAGATGGACAGAAAACTCTAGCTTAGCTAATACCGAGGGAAAGATAATTTACCTTGTGTGGATATCTTGGCTTTGGTATTTACACAATAAATAATACACAGGCTTTCTCGACTCAAGAAGTATACTGTACGTGTTAAAGGGAATGAAATAAAGAAATGAAAATTATTTTTATATGTCCTTATTTTTTACTCCTGTAAGAACTTAAATTTTTTGAAGGATCCTCGTACTTATGCAGCAATATACCTTTATCACCTGCATACAGGGTTTGAGTCTCAGTTTATTTGATTTAGAAGAGCATGCTCTACGTATGTACGATTTCTAAAACGAGGCAAATTATTGACAAGCAAGTTGAAACAGAATATCAGCATTCTCGTTTAAAGTCATCATTTCGTAAGTTCTATGGTCGATACAATGACCTTGTCAGCAAATACAATTTATCATTGAGTCGAATGTCGACTTACGTTTTTTTTATCCTGCAACTACCCTTTGCATTGACCTAATAAAGGTAACCTAATATTTCCATTTCTAATTTTTGTCTCTGTGATAACTCTTTGAAAGTTAGGGGGAGTTTATTTCTTGATAATTCTGCCGGAATGTAAATTAGGCAGGTCGATAGGTCAGGAGCTACGGAGGCCTAATACGCATGCAAATCTCGTGCGCATCTCTCTCTGTGTCTGACGCTAAGGAGGCCAAATATGCATGTAAATCTCGTGCAGCTGCCTTTGTGTTTGACGTCAGTGGGCGAGGAATATTGAAATTGACATGAAAGTCCTCATATAATTTTATGCCCTGTTCACACGGAGAGTTTAAATCGAATTAAACGTAAGTTTACTGCGAATTAGCTTCGCTTAGCGTTCACACGGAGAATTTAATGCGAATTAGTTTACTGCGCATTAAATTACTTCGCATTAGCTCCGTGTGAACGCTAAGCGAAGCTAATTCGAATTAAATTTTGGGGCATGCGTAATGGCAAAATTAAGTCAAATGCGTCATGTCGGTGGTCAGCTTTAAGTACTTGTGCTATTTTTGAGTGAAAAACTAAGGAAAAAATGTGTTAATCACTAAAATATGTCTCCAGACACTCTGACATATTGTCAAATGCATTTCTTTCTGCATAAGGTGACGTGATTTGCAGATGACGTCATAATAGCCTTCCTCACGCCTGACTGTCGAAGTAGAATTTTAATTCGCATTAGTTTACTTCGCATTAGCTGTCGTGTGAACGCAATTTAATTCGCATTAGTTTGATTCGCATTAGTTTACTTCGCATTAATTTACTGCGAATTAAACTTGTCGTGTGAACAGGGCATAAATCTATTAATCTACATTTTAAAAGTCTAAATCTACAATTTTATTTCACAATGAAATGGAAATATAAGGAATCACTGTCTAGTTAGTGTAGTATGCCAGGGACATCAACGATAGTGGGAAATTTACTTATATAAAAAGTATTCAGATAAAGAAGGATTAGTGTATGTTTCGTTCCATGGGAAATACTTATACATCTCATTTTCTTTGTCCATTAAACAACTTCGATGTACAATTTATTTCATCCAATTAAGCAATGTGAAGTTTGCCGTGTCTCTAATACGAATTTATTTTCAATATATTTCAAACAGTATTTCCTCATAAAATCTTCCCGAACACATCATTGGATGTTCAACCAATGATAACCACTCCCCCTTTGTCCGTGGTGGTTGTTAAAACCGTGGTTGCTAAAAATAGAAATAAATGTTATTCAGAAGTTTTCGATTGAAAGTGATTAATTCTTTGTATTGATAATTCTAGTTAGGAAGAAAAGGCTATAGATCTACACATTCAAATTTTAATTATAGCAGCTAGGACGTTCGGCACACGAAACTATCCGATCAAAACTTAAGAGCCATTCTCTGTAATGATTTGAAATTTTATATAGGAGCTGTGGCACGCATAGTTTCAGATTTTCTCCAAACTCTCTATGATAAAAGTCATTGATACCCTAAACTGAAATCAGGCAAAAATTGGTTGCTATGTTATATAGTTACCATGGCAACATGTCTTAAAGTTCGAAAAATGGCATTTTTTAACATGTTTAGAGCCCCATAGTTAACATTTGCGGCAAAGCAAACAATTGGCAATGACTGTTTCCAAAAGTTGAAGGTCAGATGTCTCAAATGCATGATAAACATGTTTGGTAAATCAACTATTACATACGTTACTATGGTAACAAAGTATTCGAAAGTAAAAAAAGTATTCATTGAATTTTATAAAGTCATACAGGTAAAAATAAAAAGCAATTATAGGATGAAATGTGACCAAATAATAGAAAAAAGAGCCTTGAAACATATACCAAGAACAAAATGATATTTCATTTTGGTTGGCAATGGTTGCCAAGGTTTTTACACCACAGAGAGCCTTCAAAGTAACACTCTGTATGTTTAAATCTAATCCTATCTTTTAAAAAAAGCACATTCCTTATAACTAATGATCAATTTTATAAGATGTTGGTTTGGTCCAAGTTTTCCCATTTGAAAAAAATCAGATTAGATTTTTTAAATAGAGCGTTGCTATGGAAATAAGCAGAAAATATATGCTTAAAAAACCTGAAAAATATTTTCTTTCCTTGGATACGTACCCTTAAATGTAGATTCCCAAAACTTTTATGATTGATATTAATTAACAGCTAACTTGACTTTTAATTTTGACTATCATCCAATCTCTAAGTGGATGCAAGAAGTTGGCACACAGGGTTTAATATTGATATAAAGTTCACAAAATCGAACATTTTCCCTTCTTGGTAACCATAGCAACAGTGTTGTTTTATTCATCAAATTTTAGCAATATATGATATTCAACTTCAGTTCTATCAGATAAGTACTATTCAAGCTGAGTCCTTTAATTTGTTTCTTGATTAAATGGCAATTTACTTCTTAATGCAGCGAAAAATAATTCACTTTTAAGCACTGGTACTTTGTTTCCATGGTAACACTGCAAAGTAGCAATTATACCCAATTTTTCTTATGGTTTTGGTGTTGCAAGTTCCTAAGGACGCATATTTGCCAGTCTTGAATTTTCATGTTTGTTCTCAAGACAGTAGCATTAACCCAATCTTAGTTACTGGTTTTGCATGGTTACACTGTGTTACCATGGCAACCATAAATGTTATTTATAGAATAATATTGCTTATACTTATATACTTAAGGTAAAACATTTTCATTGTTTTTCTTAAGTCGTTGATTGAGTTTGAGCATGTAACACCTACCATTAGTGAATACGGAGTGTTTTTCAGCATATTTCAGCATTTTAAATGTATTCCAAATGTACCCTAGGTTACCACTTACTTAGAGATATATTCTAAACAGTTTCTTTACAGTATAAGTGACATCACGGTGTCATGTTTTTGTGAGAATGGTTTGTTTGCTTTTTCTAATTTTTATTAAGCCACAGTCAAGATCTAAAGTGGCTGAAAATCTCGATTTTTCAAACTTTTCCGGCTGTTACCATAGCAACCGAGACACACAGCAACGAAATTTTGTTTGATATTTGTTTCTGATGTCAAGTACTAAGCATGGGTGAAGTTTAATCAAAATTGATGACCTTGCGTGGCAACGAAGTGTAAGTGGTTACAGAGAATGGCTATTAATGGTCTGACAATTCTACTCACTAGGTTGAGGCGTGGTCTTTGGCAACATGGTGGTAGGAAACGGGGCTTGTGTAAACATGTCCGTGGTAGGAAGAGGGGCGTCAGTTTCAGGTGGTGTTGTGGGTACTGGGGCGTCTGTAGGGGGTGGGGTTGTGTCTATTGGAGCATCAGTCTTCGGTGGTGTGGAGTATATTGTGGTGTCGGGTATGAAGGGCGTGGTGTCGGGAGAAGTTAGGTTTATAAATACTGTGGTAGACCCTTGCGGTTTACTTGTTGTTCTATCGGTGTGATGGTTTCCTGGTGTAGTATGATGCAGTTTGCCTATATTTATGTTGAAATTAAGGGCCATTAATAAGACATTTTTCATTGATGAATATAGCATTTTGCTGTTGGAAAAAGTATTTTTGTCAACAACGGGAATATCATTTTAAATTTTCTTACTGTATTGACAGATGAATGAATAATGGTAGAATATACTGCTACAGTCATAATCGTGCCATCTAAATCCACTGTCTACTCTCATAAGAGCGCAGTCTTCAATGGTTCCACTGGCGAGGAAAAAGCCACTTTGAGATGGTCCCTGTCCAGACTCCCAATTACTGTAGCTCATTCTAGGATCACCTGCCAAATATTTTATAATGTGGGGAAAAATGTAATCGAAAAAACTGCGTGTGGCACTTATGGCACTCTTTTTGAAGTCACCTCAATAGAAGGTAAATTAAATTAGTTAAAATAAAATTTTACGTCCTTGTTGCAATACTTTTCAGTTAAACTCAAGTCAAGATAATACATAGATTATTTTTTATTTAGTTTGATTCAAAAGCCAGTAATGTTAATTACTATATAGTATT